AGCAGGAAACCACCGAGGTGAGATAAAGCGTGCGACGCGAGAGCGTGCTTTTTCCTCGCGGTATCGGCGTTAGTGCGTTAGTTTCGATCCATAGCCGTCTAGTATCGCCTCGCGCGTTACGATAAGTGCTAGTTAGAGTGCGATATCACCATCGATATCGTCAACGATTCATTGTATATCCTTGAGAGCCGCGCTACTTATCTCGATATCATTCTCCAATCTTTTTTTTTTCGGAGTGATGATGTAACACAAGCGATATATCGAAGTGGAACACGCGAGTGTTGTGTACAAATAGTGTGTAATTTTTCTATCAAGATGAATCGCGATACAAGTCGCCCGAAATCCGTGCGGAAGATGCTTAATCGGGTGTTGCTTGTGTCCTCGATCGTGTCAACCTTGAGGAGCAGAATCGGGGTAAGAAGAGGAAGAGTAATTTTTTCGTAAGAAGAGAGTAAACTCCTCCGTGAACTTTCTCCGTTCGCCAAAAAATCTCGCCGCTGCCGCGGTGACAGTCTGTCATCGACTTTCATTCCTTACGTCATGCTTAAGTCTTTCGCGCGCGGTAAAAGTACATGCGCGTATACATACATGCATGCATATTCCAGCTGGTAAAATAATGCGCGAGTAATTTACCGGTATCTCGCTCGGAAATTCGAGACGCGTTTATGATTCGCTCGCCGCATCGAGATTACTCGCTGACATTACTCATCGGGATCGAATGAAGCGCTTCGCTTTAACATATGATATTCCCATCGTGGTATATCATAGTGAATTAATTATATAGAGATCGTTCTCCATTTTTAGAACCGCTTCGCCGTGTTTGATAAACATGGAGAGAGGAGCAGCGCGGAGGAGTGTCAGCAGGCAAAGGTGAGTGCACGTCTCTTCACCTATATTACGTATATTCTTTATCGTTTTCGCCATTCGTCTCACTGCATATTATAAAAAGAAAGGAAAGGAAAAGAGGTATCCTCCAGATATTGACTAATGAGTGTCGTAAATCAATCGGCGATCGATAAATCAATTGAATTTCTGCAACAGGCGAATCCGATAAAGATCCATTAATCTCTTCTACTTTACGGAATAATCTTTTGTATATGCGCTGCCAACGAATCGAAACGTGGGAACGATCGCTTGCGTTGATTTCGAGATATGACTCGCGTGCAGTCGAGTCGCATTATCACCTCGGATGCGGGTGCACTCGGTTTATAACGGGAATTTTTTAAGGTCGTCGCTCGACCGAAAAAGACATAACGTCCGCGCGTGCGCGCGGAATTGTGTCTACTTTTATTCAACACGTGGAATACACGCAGGATGTCTTCATTATAAAGTCTGTCGTAAAAAAAAATATCGCGGCATAGAAAAGCGGGGCATGTCGTATAGTCATTAAAATTTTCAGAAAGGTAGGAGTGCACGCTTTCATGATCATAATTCCCGACTTTACGAGGAAGAAAAATGTGAATCCGTCAATAATAAAAACTGTTAATAGGAAGCTCTTTGCGGTTAGTGCGTGGCTGCATTGATATTCCGTTCATTGTCTAGCGTTCCGATAAAGCCAAACTGAACTTGTCGTTATTATCGTATTGTGCGTTTAAAATTTTCTTTATATAATATCTTTTAAATGTTGTATATTTTATCATTGTTATTTTTTACTTGACATGAATACATGTCACATGATTTACAACTACTTTACCTTCGTATCGTTTTCCAAATGATCGGAGTATAATAATTTTATAGTTGATATATGAAAATTACATTTTTGAAATTTTCATAAAATTTCCTCGATAATAAAAACTGATTATTACATCTTGGGCAATATTGTTATATCAAAATTACAATAAAATGATTAGTGTTTTGGCCTATTTGTGTGCGGAGATTAATTTGAACCGCAAATTATTAATAACATTAATAATTTGCTCTAATAATAATTAATAATAATAATTAATAAGTAATTAATATGATAAATGATTATTATGATTTAATAATTAATAATCACGTTTATATTATCATTTTTACTATATTACTATTATTTGACCATTGATAACTCTTTAAAAGATTTTATTTTCCAACAATGGAGAAGCAAATGTAATTTTATTCTTTTAAAGAACTTTTAAAGAACGAAAAATGACTAAACGCGCAATGAATATGTAAGGGGGAATAATGATTATATTCTGGGAAATCCAAGTTTACCATCGTGTCTAACGGGAGATATTTTTGGATCGTGACACGTTTACGGATTTGTCGACACACAAGAGCGAGCGTCCTGCAAAATATAAGACAATGAGAGCAGGGAGAAGGGTGGGGGGGGGGGGGGGGATGTGGG